ATATATATGTAATCCTAATATGCAAATAGACTGAATGGTGGAACAACCAAACAACCAGTTGCTATGACATGCACTGACCAACAGAGGGCACGTGCGGAACATGGCAGGTGTCGGCAGCAGGCAGAAGAGTGTGGAACGTGGCAAGGCATCAGCTGTGGTGGGATGGCGGAGCAGGTGAGCAGGGGCGCTAGACCAAGGCGGGCGCTGGTGGTTGTCATCAGGATGAGCCTCTGGTGGTTACTGAAATTTCTTTGCTCCCATGTGCCGTGGTCCCACCCACCACTGACACCTGCTGTCGGCACTGGCCCCACCTGTACCCACTGCTGGTGCTGCTCCTTGCACCCACTGCCAGCGTCCAGCCTCGCAGCCCACAGTCCCATTCAAGGTGCACAAATTTGTGTACTGGACCCCTATGTATATGTAATACATACAGGCATTTATTCTTATTACATATTTGAATTCTGAAAGCTTTGTGGAATGTACCATAAACCTAAAAAATTTCTAGCATGGGTCAATTATATATGTCAAGTAAAACTCACAAGTTTAGTTGGTGAAACTGATAAACTATTGTGACCATATAACCCATATTTCATGGCATTTATTTGGCTTTTATCACTGGACTATTTCTTGGAAGATGAACATACTAAGATGATGAACATCTTCCTTAGTATGTTTTCCATCTCGAATGTCAATGGTAGAGGTTCTGTCTTTTTATTAGTCTTATGTAACACCATGCATAGTAAATTCCAAGTGTATTCAGGAACAATAGATTCTGAGTACAAACTGCTCAGACTATCTGGGTTTTAATTAAAGTCCGAGAGCAGAGAGGGGTATTACTTCATAGGGGGACCATCAAATACAGTAAATGGCTCACTGTTGGGTGTTGTCCAGAAACCAACCTGTTGCATTTTAAAGACAGGAGACTGACTTTACGTTTCAGGGAGAAACTGGTTGGCTCCCCAGTGACTAAATGCCTAATGCACAATTTCCCTAAAGCATCAAACTCCTCTTTGGACTCTGGACTTTTACTAATTCAAAGAAAAATATATTTATGATTTGGTATAGGGGATAGTCTGGATAGTACTTTAATAATACTTCCTTTAACTCCATTTTGAGAAAGAGTTGAACTTAAGATAAAATAATACCTGGGGTGTGCTGGGAACAGGCAGAGAGGAGCAATGGGGGACCAAAATGGGGAACATTTATAATACTCTCAACAATATTTTTTTTTAAAAGATAAAATAACACTCATGAAATCAGTCTTTGGTGATTTTATTACACAGGTCCTAGCTTTCTGACAAGTCAATTAAGAAAAAAATAATAAAGGCACTTAAGATTTTATTGTTTTTGTGAAGGGAAAGGCACAAATTGCTACAATAGAATGGTAAATATGGGATACAAGGCTCACACTTACTTACATACTAGAGGCCCAGTGCACAAAATTTGTGCACGGGTAGGGTCCCTAGGCCTGGCAGGCAATCAGGGCCGATTGTGGCCCCCACTTGTACCCACCTTGGCCTGGCGCCACCTGCTCCACCATTCTGCTGCGGTCCTGCTCTCATTGGTGCCCATCAGGGCTGGCAGGGTATCCACTACCTTCTGCTGCCACACCATGTCCCGTGCTGCCCCCTGGTGGCCAACTCCCAGTCAGTTGAACTCCCACCCATGGGGTCAATGGAAAGGAGAAGTTCTAGAACTTTACAATTAGTCACTATAAAACATAATTTGGGAATAATCTGTTCTGTTCAAGTTTCCTTCAGTTTTAAAACTAGTTAAAACGCTCTATGTTCAGCTGAATCTGTTTTTACTAATTTGTTTTCAACAAAAGAGATACATATGGTAGAGCGGCAAGTTTAAAAATATACAGACTATTTTATGAGTGAATGACTACAATATGACTACTAGCACTACCAGAATGCTTTTGGAAGTACAGCAAAATCCCAAACCCTAAAATTCTCATTTTCCTTTTAGAACAAATTTTGATATATCTTAAACAAGTTTCTGATATGTTACGTAATTAAAAATTTTCCAATCTTGATGGGTATTAAACGTTTTATTTAAAATTTTAAAGTAAAAAAAAAAAGAAGGTACACAAATACAGACTACATTATGATGACCAAGGCAGTATTCTACATGGCAAAAGCAAAACAAAATTTTAAAAGTAAATGTAGAAAGCAAAATACCTGATAGCCGATTCAGGCTGCATACACATAAAATGCTCTGACCACATGCTTATACAAAATAAAATTTTTTTAGAACACCAAAATCCCAACCATTCTGACTGTCAAATGCCTTTTTCCCCTGGTGAGTATTTTCAGAGAACTTTATATAATATAAAAAAATTGACATGGCACTTAAAGACTACAAAATAAGAACACAATTAGAAACATATTTGTAATGCAATTCTGTATAAAATATACACAGTAAATCTTAGATTTTAAAAAAGGATTAAAAACTAAAGATTGCCCTGAATAATGGTTAAAACCTCATCACAAAAAAATGCTTATCGTTTGCATCATTGAGAGAAAACTGATGGGATTTTTTTTGAGATGATATCTAACTTGAGGAAGTTATTCATTCAAAATGTATTTAAAATAGTAGGTAAAACAGAAACTCACTACCTATCCCTACTCAAAATGTTTTTTTGTTTGTTTGTTTGTTTTTTAAATATATTTTATTGATTTTGTACAGAGGGGAAGGGAGAGAGATAGAGAGTTGGAAACATTGATGAGAGAGTCATCGATCAGCTGCCTCTTGCACACCCCCTACTGGGGATATGCCCACAACCAATGTACATGTCCTTGACCGGAATCGAAGCCGGGACCCCTCAGTCCCCAAGCCGACGCTCTATCCACTGAGCCAAACTGGTCTCGGCCCTACTCAAAATGTTTTATCACAAGTACTCTTTCTAATATTTAACACAGGACAAAAATAGAAGAATGACTCAAGTTTCCTCAAAATATGGTTCCGAAGACCCATCAGAATTCTAAGGTAGGTCCAGTATTGTGTTTTTAAACAAACTTATTCCATATTCTAAAATTTTAGAACTAATGCCCTAGGGGAAACAGCACCACTTAAAAACAATATCATAAACATATATCATAAGATGTCAGAATGTTCGGCAAGTTTATGATTTGAAGTGAATACTGCTTTTTTTTTTTTTTTTTAAACAAACAAACAAGTTTCAGGTATTAAGAGAAACATGTATACCTCTTAAATAAACATGTGGATATAAACATTTTTCCTTTGAGGTTTTCATTGCGTTCAAAGATAATTATTTAAAGAAAAGACGACATGGCCAGGCAGGCCCTGGCCGGTACGGCTCAGTTGGTTGGAGCATTGTTCTGTGCACCAAAAGGTGGTGGGCTCAATTCCCGGCAGGGCACATACCCAGGTTGCGTGTTTGATCCCCAGTCACGTAAAGGAAAGCAACCAATCAGTGTTTCTCTCTCACATTGATATTTGTGTATGAGAGAGAGAAACACTGTAGAATAATAATTTTTAAAAATCTTAACATAAAAAGAGTACATGGTCAGAAACTTTGGTAAAATTATATTTCTAATGAAATGTAACATCCAAAAAAAGAAGATATTAAATGCCTACAAATTTTAAATAATTCTAAGCTGAAGACTCAACAGCTTTCCCCAAAATTAAATTTTACTAACATTGGGGAATTATAAGTAATTTAGATGATTATGGTTACTTTAAGGTCCCTTTTCATAAAAAAAAAATATTAAAATAACAGAAGGATGCTATCTTTGGCATCCCTTTACATAATACATTCCTAAACATTAATATTAATAAAACATAACTGAAGAACTCTGCCTCTGAAATGTATTGAATTCTGTATTACATGTATTACCTACTTAACAAAAACTCGCTTGCGGGGTTGGGACTGTGATGTGAGTGTATGTGTGGGTCATGTTTATTACTTTTCATGGATTTCACTGCAGACTCCATGAACAGGGTCCAAAAGTATGGATAATGTATTTTGGAGTAGGAAATAAGCATGTTTAATACACTGTTTGGAAGGTAAATTCTTTTCTTGTATACTAAACTATAAGGGAAAATAGTATCCATCCCGTCTCCATTGGGTAAATGGAATGCTTTTACAAGTTTTATAATAAGTGCCTCCTTATTTAATCAAATCACAAAAGCAACTGTGAGATTTACTCTCTTGTAGGAAATAAATATTACCATTGCACTTTTTTATATGTCCTTTAAATTTCTTATTTTTTTCCTTCCTATACACTGAGAACTTTCCCATTCAGCTACATCATGGATCCTTTGAACTGCATTTCTTAACATTCCAGTTAAAGTTCTGACTAACGAGACTAGCTCAGAAACTAACCCCTTAAAATATTAAAGAACTCAAAAACAGCCAATGATTTGGAATCTGATTCTTAATAAAATGTGCCTTTTTCCTCAAGAAGAATCTGTATTACCCAATCCTAATCAAGTGACACCTTTTATTACCAGTCAATTTAATAACTGTTGCCTTAATAATCAGTAATTATCCAATGCAATGATAAAATTTACAGCTGAATTTTTAAACACAAAGAATTCATAAAGTAACAGGTAATATAACAAGTTGCTATATTTTGAATTAATATTTTTATTCCAAAATTAAAGGACGTATGACAAAAATCACAGGGAGGCTTATGATGTAAAACCACCATGTGCTTTAATGCAACAGGTACCCTTTTTAAAAGCAGTGGTAAGTAGTTTCTTCAAAGGAAAAAGACAACGCTGTTACTCATCAGTAGGCTGCTAGACTACCAGTATAACTGAATTTTGACACGATTGTCTGGAATCTAGTATCTTTTTTCTTTACATTAAATTTACATGTAATAATTGACTCTTACAGTCAACACATACAAGATATTGAGCGCTTTTTTATAGTTGGCAAATATCAAATGGTTCATTATATACAGGCTGGTAATGAGTTTTCCATGCATTAAATGGCAACACAAGTAAAATGCACAGTTGAGAAATGAGGATCAGACGCATTCTTCTGCAGACATCAAAAGAGGATTGATGTACTCAAAGCCTTCAAATTCAGACTGATCAATCTTCCTCACAATATCACTGTTGGGACAAAAATAAATTAATTTCCTCAATCAATATTTCTTCAACTTATTTAAATGGTAAAATAAGATCAAGAAACAAAAAATAAAGCTAATTTATGTTAATTATGGGAAGAAGTTTTACAAGTTTTTAGATTAATCCCAAAATATTTTCTAGAAGAATCAAGAGTTTTGGAAAAAAACAAAAAAGGTTAAAAGACTTACAAGCAACTTTAGAATCAAAGGTAGTCCAAACTGAAGACTGAAATTTAAAAATCTCACTATTAACAAGAATGTTATCACTATTCTAGTTAATCTTAACTAAACAACATTCATAGTTATAGGTAAACATCCGGGTCTGAATTAGGCATTCAATTTAGTAGTCACCTCACTAGTCAGATGGAATACATGGTGAAGAGAAGGCCCGGAAGGTGTTAACCAGAAGGAAAGGGCAATGGGACAAGCACACTGACAGGCCTGGAATAAAGGGAGAATGCCACACACAGGCAGAGGGTCACAGGGAAGGGAGAGGTTGACATTCAGTTACACTGGGCTTCTAGTTAATATATGAGGAGTACTATCGGATATTTTCATTCTTCAATGTACACATCATACTGCATTGATATTTGTGTATGATATTTGTGTATTCTACAGTGTTTCTCTCATACTGCAAAGCACTAAGTTACACAGGATATAGCTCCTATGCGTCAAGGAGGGAAGGTACTTTTTAGAACAGAAAGCTACAAAAGAAAGAAGTACCTAAGTTCATATAGGACAAGGAAGTCCTGTTATAAACATGTTTCTAAAGAAAAGTGTGGTATTGCTTCGGCAGCACATATACTAAAATCGGGAGGGTCCAGAGAAGATGAGCATGGCCTCTGTGTAAGGATGACATGCAAATTCGTGAAGCGTTCACATTTTTTGAGAAGTACAGGTTGGCAGTTACAGAACAGTCATGGGGATGAGGAGTAAGCAGGGAAATATGGTCAATAATACTGTGATAACTATGTATGGTGCCAGTTGTATAGCCTTTGCTGTACACCTGAAACTGATACAAATGATATTGAATGTAAACTGTAATTTAGAAAATTTTTTAAATCAAAAAAGCAAAACAAAATAAAAGGGTGACTTCTAGTTAGAGAAAAAGAAAAAGCATTCATTGAACAAACACTGGATGAAATTATGAAAGATTATGCTAGATCTGGGGAAATGCAAGTGATTTTGTTAGAGTTGGAGCACAGGAACAGAAGAAGGGTATTAATATGGCAGATGATTCTGGGAGGAAGGTAATGGCTGGCTCAGAGAACCTAGTGATGTTTACACTATGGAGTTTCACCTTGACCCATCCAAGACTGAGTTGCATGTGAGAAAGCTCTGAAAGATGGAGAAGATTTCAACAGATAAAAATGAAGGAAGAACACAGAGGAAATGGCAGGAGTAAAGGTCAGCAGCACACTATCAGGGAATGGTGAGTCAGAGACTAATCAGAACACAGCGTCTGTGTTAAAGCATAGCAAGAGATATGGCTAGAAAGGCTGGAGCAGACGGTGGGAGGCCTGAAATGCTAGCCAAGAGGATGGATGTTACTTGCTAGGCAATGCGGGAGCTGTTAAAGGTTTCTGGAGTGGCACTTCTTGAGGTGTACAGAATGGGATGCAAAGTAAAGGAGTCCAATTAGGAGGGTGGCATAATATTCTAGGTATGATTTGAAAGAGGTTTGAATTGGGTTTATAGCAATGCAAATGGAAAAGAAAGATGTGATGCAAATGAAGAAGTAAAGGAGAAACAGACATGGTCTTGGCAGATGAAGGTATTATGTTAGTTTTTAATGAAAAGGAGAAATCAATGACCCTGATACTCTGAATCTGACTGCAAAATGCTCAGTGCTGCAATGAGCAGAAAAAGGTAAATAAAAACAAGGAATCACTGAGAACAGAAAAAGAGACCATAAAGAGTCATTACTTTGATTTCAGACTTCATATGTTTGAGGTGCTTGTCTGACACTAGAGAAGTGTTAAACAAGCGAATGGAAATGCAGCTCAGGATAGATACCAGGGCAGTGGCTAGGTTTAGAAACCATCATTCACTTATTCTTCACAGCAATCTTGTGGGATAGGCAATACAAAAAACAGGCTCAGAGAAGCTATGCAATTCACACCCAGGTTACCCAGCTGGTAAGAGTCAGTGTCTGAATTCAAATTCCTACTTTTTTATTAAACCCAGTGCTCTTCTAAAACAAGATGCTGTCTGAAATAATGACTTTGATACCTATCTCTTTCCTTTAATAGACAGTAAGTTTTTTGCAAAATCAGTCTGTTTTGATCAGCTTTGAATGTCTAGTACTTAGAATAGTGCTTTTTGTTCAATAATTGTTGGCCAAGTTAGCTGGGAGTCCTTTTTAATAGCCGGTATCCATGCTATGGGGCTGGTTGACATCCCCAAAATGCAAACTGCATACAGCAAAGAGAAGGCTGACATGGAGAGAACCATGAAGGATCCTAGTCACAAGGTGGGGACAAGGGAAGAAAAGATGAAAAGTGGTCACAGAGGTGAAGCAGAACCAGGATGGGTAGTTCCAACCAAAGCAAGGCCATGAGTGCCAAATGCTTTATAGACATCAGGGGACATTGGAACTGATCAAAACAGTTTAGAAAGTAAGAAATCGATTCAACCTTCAAAAGCTGAAGGTGCAGGTTAAACTGTGTTAAAGTGTTGCCAGTAAGAAAGTGCAATCAATGTTCACTATTATGAAGACATTTGATAGAGATACTGCTTATTTTTCCTTTACCATGTGCATCTATTAACTATCTTTGAAAAAGCTTGCAGATGAAAAGAATGTGGTGGTTCAAAAAGTGCTAAGATTCAGAAGAAAAAAATTAGGCTATCTGAGCATGTTTACAGGCAGAGGGAAAGAAGCTGGAAAAAAGAAAAAAAAAAGAAATGAAAGAAGGTGGGGTAATGGAGGCCACTGATAAAACAAGATCCTGGAGGAAAATAAGGGAACAGGTCTAGGAAAATAGGAGAGCATCCCTTGCAAAGGACAGTTAGCTTTTCAAGAACGGGAAAGGAGAAAAAGGTTGAGAAGAGTTAGAGAGCAATTCTGAGATGAGAGGCACCCCAATGACAGCTGAAAAGGGAGCAAGCTCACAATAGGGAAGTCTTGATTCTTGCAGTCAGGTTAAGGCAGGGTAAACCATTAAGTGATGGAGGTAGGGGTAAAATGTAGTTTGAAATAGCTGCCATGAGGAATGTGATAAGGATTAACAAGAAATAAATGTCTGCTGAGTTGTAAGCGTCTCCTTGAGACGAGAGAATGAATCTGTAACCACAGGTAAAGGATCAAAACATCCCCAAATTATTCTAAAGCCTATTTTTACAATATGTAACATGAACACACAAAAATATGTGAGATCACTGCTGGCTGGACGTAATAAGTTGATGTAATTTTTTTAAATTTGGCAAAACACATCAAGAGCTTTAAAATTTCATACCCCTTGACCTAATTCCCTTTCTAGGAATCTATCTTAAGGTAATACTCAGGAACTTAAAGATGGTCATCATCGAATGGAAAGCAGGGCAGCACTGTGGAAACAGCACGGGCCTTAGCCACTCATTATTGGTTCTGAATCCTGGCTCTGCCCCCTCACATCTGTGTAACTTATGCTTAACCTCTCTCAGTCTCAGTTTCCTCATCTGTAAAATGAAGATGACAATAACTAGGTTTACAAGGTTGTGAGAATTAGAGATAATGCACATAAGTCAAAGTAAAAAATGGCCATATTGTCATATTTATAATGATATAAGAGATTCAGATACCCAATAACTCAGTGGTTAGATAAATTATAGTATAACCTGATCATGAAACACTGTATAGCCATTAAAAGTGGGAATGTCAAAGAACTCTGACAATATTTCAGTCTATGGAATTACTTACTCATCATCTGGAGTGAGCTGGACAGGTTCATTAGTAAACTGAGAATCAAAGTTGTCCAAACCAAATTCCCCAGAAATATTTGGTTTAAAGGGAGGTACCACCTGCTTTTGCTCCATCTAGAAAGACAGATTGGATGACAGTTCAAGCCTGCATTCTTGGAAAAATCCCCTTCTACATTTCTCCTCTGCCCTCAGAGGTTTCCCAGTCTTATTAAAGCGAGTCCCTAGGTAAAGTTCTACAACACTATTCACAGTGATGGAAGTAGTTTACAAATCTGAACAGTGATGCAGGTCTCAATATTACAATCTGTTCCACGTTAGAGAGTGCTTTTAAGTTAATTTAGGCTATGACATACTAGATTTTCAACATTCTTCCAAGGTAATAAAATTTGGCCCAAGATAATGATGAAACCTAATGCAGAAAACAATCACAATTTACATACCATATCCCAGTCAACATTTCGGAAGAATGGGTGTCCCTGAATATCAGCAAATCCTGTTTGAGGATGACAACCCAATCGTTCCTTTGGGTCCTATGGTGGGAAGAAATGTTAAAAAAATGGGTGAATATCATGCTTTAAAATACATCCTCTTTGTGGCCTGTGCTTTGAGTCTACTATATAATACATTTATTTCTGAAATCAGAATGATCTACCTTTTCTTTCTAGAAGGTACAACACTAGATTAAAATAATTTCTGAAACTTGTGACAAGTAAGATTTCCTCACGGCTCTTCCCCAGCTGTCATGTAATTAAAGTGAAGCTGCAAAGAGAAACAGGAGGAAAAATAGAGCCGCAGAATAACTTGAGCATCATCCAGCTATGTCTTTGCCATGAGTTACAGTGACAGTCAAATTTTGTAAACCCCAAACTTCACAAGTTTGTTCTTAGCTCAGTTTAGAAGCTCTATGCCCAATCGCAGTAACAACCTATAATTTGTGTACAATGATATAACCTTTATCTGAACCACTGGACTGAGAAAGGGGCCTGCAACTTAGCTTATTCATTACTGTGAAATGAAAATATGTTCCCATATCCCCCTCCCCCAATAAAAGACATTTTATTTTGCATATTAACATCTCTGTCCTTTACTTTTCATTATGTTAAAGTTTAGGTTTCTAGTGTAAAACTTTCCTCATATTAAGCACTCACCCATTATAATAAAAGGTTAATATGCAAATTGTCTCCTTGGGAGTTCAACCAACAGGAGTTCAAGTGCTTGCTGTGACATGCACTGACCCCCTGGGGGTGGTGCAGAATGAAGGAAGGCCCTAATCAGCAGCCAGAGGGAAAGAAGACCCAATCGCCTAAGGCTCTGATCGCCTAAGGACCCTACCCGTGCACAAATTTCGTGCACTGGGCCTCTAGTTTAAAATAAGCTTTCAATTTCCTATTAAAAGTCATCATTATCTTATCCATTCATTTACCTTAGAAGATAAATGCACATTAACCTACCATTTGATTTGATTGCCAAGATCATTGTAATATAATAAAAAGTATATATTTGGTCTTTGTCCCTGGTTGGACCCTAAGTTTCTAAAACCCTTTTAGCTTCCTGAGTGACAGGAGTATCTTTTGTTATTCATAACAAGTCCCTTTCAATAATTCCTGAGTTTACCCTAATAAGATGACTCTTGGTGGGTCTCTAGATAGCTTCAGGATGGGGTCTGATTGCCAGAAGAACCAACCATGCGATTAAAGGGTTGGGACTTTCAGCCCAATTTCCAGAGGGACTAGAAATTGAGCTTTATCACCAATGGCCAATGACATAATCAATCATGCTTATGTGAAGGAACCTCCATAAAAATCTCTATACCATGGGAGTCATAGAGCTTCTGGCTGGTGAACACATCTATGTGCCAGGAGGGCGGACACCCCAACTTCACAGGAAGAGAAGCTCCTGTGCTCAGGACCTTTCTGGACCTCACCTCTTCATCTGGTTACTCCTTTGTAATCTTTATAATACACCAGTGAGAGTAAATAAGCGTTTTCCTGATTTTCTGTGAGCCATTCTAGCAAATTACTGAAACTAAAGTGTGTGGGGAGGACAGGGAGATTCCCAATTTTATAGCCAAGTCAGACAGAAGTGGTACCCAATACTTGTGACTGGCCTCTGAAGTGAGGGTAGTCTTGTGGAACTGAGTCCTTACACCTGTGGAGTCTAATGCTGACTCCAGGCAGTGTCAGAAATGAACTGAAATATAGGACACATAGTTGGTTATCTGGAGAGTTGGAGAATTGGTTGTTGATGTGAAAAAAAAACCTACACTTGGTGTTATAAACAAAAACAGTTCAGAATCATAATTTTAGATAGATCCTAAAACTGTAGCCTACCATCCATAACAACTGAATGCATTCAGATTTGTTAAGAGCAAAGAAAATTCGTTTCTTTTGAATGTTATCTAATCATAGGGTTTTTGACATGGGAATTTGTAGAGAACATGACTGTCCCAAGTGCTCAATTAGTAAAAGAGATTCTTTGAAAATGAATCCAAAGAAAATTGAAAATAAGAGCAGAAAGTATAATTAAGACCATCCCAAAGATGCAATTTTTCCTTAATTGAGTAGACGGTATGTATCATTTACATTGAAAACAATATATGTAATATACAGCTGGGAGTAAGTTATATTGGCAAATGGAAATGACAACTCATTTTAGTACCTAATGTTGTCAAATTACTCTTTGGTGAAGAGACAAATTCCAGATGTAACTGAAAAAATTACATCCTCTGATACTGAGGAATTTTACATTGCTTGAACCTCTACTTACCAGTCTCATTTACATAGAGATAAACCACTAAAGATTTTTGAATACCTTGTTGAGAAAACTCTTCAGGACACTTGCAGCTTTTACAGACAGGGAACGTGGTATTCGAATTTGTTTTTCCAAAATAACTAGAAAGATAAAATAATGGCATTATGTTTAACTTTTATATGGCTTTACTTTTTACATTTTTATTATGAGCTATTCAAGGCATTTTAGCAGAAAAATGTAAGACATTACATAGACTGCTTAAATGTCTCTGTATACTTTCCCAGCCCGGTTCTTCTCCGTTTATAATCACTTACCTGCCTGTTTTATTCTTTGACTACCTTACTATGCCTTAGCTTCCTCATCTGTAAAACTGGTAAAATAATACCTGCTTCATAGGGTTGTTATGAGGTTTAAATGAGTTAATATCTGGAAAATGTGTGGCACATATTACTATTTTGGATCTGACTGGCATTGCCAAATTATTCTTCAAAGATGTGTCGATTTCACTCCCATCAGCAGTCTATGAAGCGTTCCAGCTGCTCCACATTCTCACCAACACTGGTATTAAAAACACTTTAAATTTTTTGCCAAATGTATGGGGTATGAAAGAGTAGTTCATTAATGTTTTAACATGCATGCCCTAACCACTAGTGAGGCTGGACATCTTCCCACATGTTCCATGGCCATTTGGATTTGCTATTATATGAAATATTTATTCCTATTGTGTGAGTCCTTAATTACTAAATGTAGAATTTATGGCAGTCTTCCCACTTCTTTGGGCTGTGTGTTGGGGGTCTGTTCTTATTAACTTGTTTCTGTTCTGTTCAACTCTTTGTATTCCCAATTGTGGGGCTTTATCTTCACCTTTTGATACCTCTTATCTTCTTGGTACTCTACTTTTTCCCATATTGTTCTTGAACTTATGTACTTGGCCTGGGTTCATGTGAAAAGACTGTCCTCTCTAACCACAAGATTTCTTCCTCCAATCTCTGTTTGCAATATACAATCTGAAGGAAACTGTTTTTGAATATGAGATGGTAATTGGCAAATGAAAATGGACACTTACAGGGGTAGAAAAGATGTATATCAAGTCAAAGCCTCACATATTAAGGAATATATTGTCCAAATTATTTTCTCCTTCCTTTATTTTAAATTGATTTTTAGAAAGAGAGGAAGGGAAAGGGAGGGAGATATTGATGTGAGATCAAAACAACCATCAGCTGACTCCTGCACAGCCCCTTCTGGGGATCGAACTATCAACCCAGGTAATGTGCACTGTCTGGAACCAAACCAGCAACACTTTGGTACACAGGACGACTCCTAACCAACTAAGCCACACCAGTCAGGGCTATTTTCCTCTTTCTTACCTTGGAAGAGATAGTCTTCTGTGTTTTGATCAGGGTTATCAGAGCTCCCAACAATATCAAATGGAGACCTTCCTGCCATCATCTCAAACATTAGTACTCCAAGAGCCCACCAGTCAACACTGAAACCTTCAATAGAGAAATTTTAAATTATCCAGTCTGCATACTTGAACATCATTATTTTGAGATTCATTTTATTACATAATAAAAAATAAACATAATGAGAAAGGCATAGAAGTCTGCAAACATATTTCACTTATCAACAAGGGGAGGTAACTGAGAGATAACTTTAAAAATAAATTATTAAAAAATAACACATTCAGTTTCTTTTCCTAATAAATATGTAATTTCAGACTCATAGCCTGTATCTAATATTTTCTTCTGTTGACATAATTAAATTGCATTTAAGAGTAACTTTCCTGAGTCTAAAACTTGATCTTCTGCTAGCTGATTAAAGATTCTTGAGGAACCTTGGAATCAGATTATGAGCAGCTGTCAGAAATACCCATCCTCCTTTACATCTGCTGAAACGAGAGGTCTAGAACCAAAGCAGTCATGTTTTCTTAAGATAAAGCATGACTTAGAGATACCCCAGGAAATCTGAACAATCTTCCAGAAGCTGTTCTGAAGTCACATGGATGACGTTTAAATCCCTACTCTACCACTTCCCAGTTTTCTGACTTTGAGGTTACTTAAACTTTCTACACTTTAGATTCCTTGTCTGTGAAATGGGAATTAACAGTGCTTATGTCATATGATTGAGAGCATTAACTTGGGTAATACATAAACTGCTTAGAATAGTGCCTAGTACCCTTTAGTGCTTGTCACTAATAAAATATCATACAAATTTGTACCCCCAAATACTGTCCAAGTTCTACTGTCTCCGATTTCAGTTTGGGCTTTAATGCAGATTTTAAGGGGATCAAGAAAGTTTATATTAAGATCAACATCAAAATACTATAGTGTACTATAATGCAATTTCTACCACATCTAACCACCCTTCTAAAACATAGCTAAAATACCATCTATTGATTTATTTACCATAATCTTCTCCTCTTAAAATTTCAGGAGCAATGTAATTTGGAGTACCACAGAAAGTGCTGGTTGTATCTCCTGGCCGTAATCCTTCCTTTTATAAAAAAGAAAAAAAAGAGAAACAATAAGACCCAAAATTCTGTTTTAAATTCACCTCTTTTATTTCACCTATAGAAGCTCAGCATCTGTTAAGTTTAAATAAATATCACTAGCACAGTTGCCTTTCGCATTAAAATCATGGATTGAAATAGCTCAGAGAAAATCTGTTCTCATTAGATGTTGATAAAAAAAAAATCAGTTCAATTAGAGTAAAAGGAATCATATTTTATGAAGAAAAGAAGCACTTTAACCTTGCTTCCTAATATAACCACAGCTGGCATTATGATGTTTCTCTCTGATTATTCCTAGGGCATAAGTTTTTTTGGTTTTGCATTTTAATAGTTGCAGGATGGAGAAAATTAAGACAAAACCCAGTAATCTGTATAAAAAGAGAAACTACACAATAACAAATGGAGCAATCATCAAGAAGTTGTAAAAAACTATGTATGTACCTAACAACACAGCCTCAAAATACAAAGACTAAAAATAGACTAAGTATTCGATATTAGAATTTCACAATCTTTGCTATGGACTGAAAGTATGTGTGCTTCCAAATTCATATGTTGAAATTCTAATGTGATAGGGGAAGTGGAGCCTTTGGAAGGTAATTAGGTCATGAGTTTAGAGCCCCCAGGATGGGATTAGTGTCCTTATAAAAAGGGAAAGACAGCCAGCCCTGCTCCCCACTCCCATGGAAGATACACTGAGAGACAGCCATCTGTAAATGATGAAGAATGCTGGCACCTTGACCTTGGACTTCCCAGCCTCCAGAGCCACGAGAAACAAATGCTTGTGTTTTTGAAGCCATTTTGTTTTGAAGCAGCCCAAACAGATAATACAATCCCTAATCACAACACATGATTTTAACACATTTATTAAAAAAAACTAGAGGCCTGATGCACAAAATTTGGGCACTTGGGGGAGGGGAGTGTCTCTCTGCTGGACTTGCGCCCTCTTGCAGGGAGCAGGCCTAAGCTGTCAGTCAGACATCCTTAGCGCTACTGTGTAGATGGGAGAGGCTCCCACCATCACTGCTGCACTCACCAGCAGTGAGCCTGGCTTCTATAATAGCTGAGCGGTGCTGCCCCTGTAGGAGTGCACTGACCACCAGGGGGAGGCTCCTGCACTGAGCATCTATCCCCTAGTGGTCAGTGCACATCATAGCAACTGGTCGTTCCACCATTGGGCCGAAACCGTCTTTCTGATATCCTCTGAGGGGTCCCAGATTGGAAGAGGGTGCAGGCCAGGCTGAAGGACCTGACCAGTGAATGATTTGGGCTGGGGAGAGATGTGGGAGATTGGTCAGCTGGGAAGGGACTGCAGGAGGACTGGCTTGCTTTGTTCCGATCGTCCAGACCCCAATAACAAGCTAACCTACCGGTTGGAGCGTCTGTCCCCTGATGGTCAGTACACGTCATACCAACTGGTTAACAGGTTGACTGTCTGCACCCCTGTGGTCGGTGCACATCATAGCAAGTGGTTGAGAGGCCTTAGCATATTACGTTTTGATTGGTTGAACAAACAACCAGATGACCAGACACTTAGCATATTAGGCCTTTATTATATAGGATGACAGATTATACAGACAAAAAATTAATAAGCACAGAAAGATTTGGACAAAGCTAGAGCTGAAAAAACATATAAATTATGTATATACTAGAGGCCTGGTGCACAAAATTCATGCACAGGAGGAGGGGGTTCCCTCAGCCCCGCTTGCACCCTCTCCAATTGGGGACTCCTTGGGGGATGTCCAACTGTCAGTTTAGGCCCAATCCCACTAAATTGGCAATCGAACATCCCTCTCTCAATCTAGGACCACTCACTCCTAACTGCTCACCTGCCTGCCTGCCTCATCACCCCTAACTGCCTCTGCCTGCCTGCCTGATTGCCCCTAATTGCCTCTGCCTTGGCTCCTACCACCATAGCTTTGTCCGGAAGTAAGTTGGATGTCTGGAAGATGGCTGGTTGTCCCAGTCTAATTAGCATATTAACCTTTTATTAGTATAGATAGAATATGTCTACCTATGTTTCTGTGTGGAGAAAGGAAGGGAGAGAGAGTGTGTGGGTGAGACTCCTTGCTTGAAAAATGGAGATTATATATCCTTTTTAAGTACAGGTGAGGTACTGACCAATAACTAAGTCATAAAGGAGGTCACAGTTCGATTCCTGGTGAGGGCACATGCCCTGGTTTCGGGCTCAATCTCCAGTAGGGGGCATGAGGAGGCAGCCGATCAATGAGTCTCTCTCCTCATTGATGTTTCTCTTTCTCCCTTGCTCTCTGAAATCGATAAAAATATATTTAAAAAACAAGCAAGAAGATTTTTTAAAATGAAATCAACAAGATAGTTAAATATACAATTAAGCATCTGCTTCTTTTACTTTATAACCATGTAATTCCCTATGTAATTATAGACTTCTTATTGTTAATGACTACATAAAATCTAACTGAATGTTTGTATCTAGAATTTAACCATTTCCCTAAGTTAAATTATATGGTAAAAATTCCAAACAAAAAAAAAAGGGGGGGAGGAGGAGTGAGATATACATTGAAAAATCAAGACTTCTTCGCATTCCTTTCCCTGACACATCTTGCTCCAACTCCATAGAGGCAACCATTGTTAAGAGGTTCTTAATGTGTCCCTCCTAAGATATTTTAGGCATAATGTGTGTATTTTTCTTTAAATTTTACTCCATAAGCTATAACACTTCTATAAACATCTGGAAGAAATGTTTAGTAATATGTTGTGACTCTAAAGATTATTTCGTGATCCCTGATAAGGATATATAAGCTATTTTGTACACGTGGAAATATGGCTGTGACTTAAGTTGTTTTGTACTATTAGTAATGACTTGACATACAACTTAATAATAAATGACATTCACATTTAGGGCAAAAGTCAGAGGCAATGGATGCAGTCTGTTAACCTGTAACAGAGTTATGCTAAATCATTCACTTGTTGACTGAATTTTCTAAATGTAGGCCCATCAGCTAAATTATCTACAGCATAATAGAGATGTTACTATTAAAATTTCCCTTCTGATAAATTCTATATAATAAAAGGCTAGTATGCAAATTGACCAAATGGTGGAATCACTGGTTGCTATGATGCACACTGACCACCAGGGGGCAGATGCTCAATGCAGGAGCTGACCCCTGGCGGTCAGTGCATCCCACAGGGAGAATGCAGCTCAGCCAGAAGCAGGGCTCGTGGCTGGCGAGTGCAGTGGCTGTGGTGGAGCCTCTCCTGCCTTCGCAGCAGTGCTAAGGATGTCCAACTGACAGCTCTGGCCCTCTCCCCACAGGGCCGAAGCTGTCAGCCGGACATTCTCTGAGGGCTCCCAGACTGCAAGAGAGTGCAGGGTGGGCTGAGTTACACCTTCCCTCTCCCCCCCCTCTCCCCCCCCGAGTGCATGAATATCGTTCACCAGGCCTCTAGTAAGTAAATAATTCATAAAATGGCCAAAGTTTTTTAGTGCATAATAATCAATGTTCACAAAATATTTCAAACATGAGCCTGAAGCTATTCATTCAAATTTTCATATGCCTTCAGTCATCACTATCCCAAGCACTCTTTATATAAAAGCATCTAGTGAGAAAGTGAAGAGATTAAATTAATTTAACCTAAAGGAAGTATTTCTGTAGAAGCTACATAAAATTTTTTTAGTGTTTTAGATTTCCCAAGGAATTGTAACAAGGAAAAGAAATTCATCCAATATTTGCCAGAGATTTGACTTTAGGTAAGTTTAAAAACTGACTCTAAGTCATAAAACAAGAACATTCTATATCCTGGGGATTCATTTCATATTTTGTGGAAAAAGACTGAATCCTTAAGTAAAATACTGTTACAAAAAGAATAAAACATCAAGAAATAAGGACATGTCCTCAGAATGAACTGTATTTTATGTCAGATATTTAAAAAATTTAAATACAAAAAGAGATAAATTTCCTAGGAAAATTTTAAATGCATTATTGAGAATTACAATTAAATGGCAAAAACTGGAAGGTGATATGCAAGTAGTTGTGTTAAAGTTGAGAGATTGTAGATAATTATCTTCAAAATTTTAATAATATCACAACTTTCAAAAATAGGTTACAAAGCATATGTAGAAATTAACTCATTGTAGGACATTTAACACTCACAGAAAATATGGAATTTTGTAAATGGTTAGGGGAAAAAAAGTACAGCGTGGGGCAAAAGTAGGTTTACAGTTGTGAATATGTAAAAGTTTATTCTTTTGTTTATTATTTTCCACACAAACAACTGTAAACTTTCTTTTGCCCCACTCTGTACTTGTTTTTGTGCTACAATCCCAAAAAGTATCCTTAACAAAGTAGCAATCATTTCTCCATCTTTAAGTATGAAGTTATTTTACCAAAACAACCTTATGAGCATCTGAGAGCTTTCGAATAACTAGAATTTTCCCTCACCTTACACATGCCGTAGTCAGTGAGTTTAATGTGTCCTTCTGAGTCCAGCAATACATTGTCCAATTTCAAATCTCTATAAATTATCCCTCGTTCATGAAGATAATTTAATGCTAGACTGATTTCTGCAGAGTAAAATCTAAAATAAAATGAAAAAAAACTCATTTGATTCAAGTTTTAAAACTGTAAATTTCTAGAGGAAGGTATTTAAGTCATACTCTTGTCTGCAAATTAAAATATCAAAATCATTTTAAAAGATTATTTTCCTCTCAGTGTTTTTAGGAACAAAACCAAACACAAATTAAAGTCCTACTTTAAAGCATCTGAACCCAAAACATAATTATAAAAGATCCAGTACAAATCAAACTCATGAAGTTATCAATTTGAAAGTCTCAAACAGGGGTTCGTAATCTGGATGGGCCTCAGGCAGTCCATGCTTCCACAACTGGGGTAAAGTTTAAGAACCTGTGCCTGTGCACATGTATGCACATCTTCTACAGAGTTGCCTGAAGTCCAGTGACCTCATAAAATGCTAAGACCCACTGTTCCACGTAGAATAGAAAGAACATTAAAAGTCTATCACTGAGCCCTACCAGTTTGGCTCAGTGGATAGAGTGTCCACCTGTGGATTCAAGAGTCCCAGGTTCAATACCGGTCAAGGGCATGTACCTTGGTTGTGGACACATCCCCAGTAGGGAGTGTGAAGGAGGCAGCTGGTCGATGTTTCTCTCTCACTAATGTTTCTAACTCTCTATCCCTCTCCCTTCCTCTCTGTAAAAAAAAAAAAAAAAAAAAATCAATAAAATATATTGTTTTTAAAAAGTCTATCACTGAAACCATAAAATCCATACCAAAATTCCTAGAAAAGGAATTGAAAGAAATTATTCTGCAACCATAATATTTAATATTAAAGAAAGAAGTTTTAAAATTGTTACCAACTCATTGGTGATAACTAGAACTTTTGACCTGACTAATGAAAATGAAATACCAAGCTGGTTTATGGCTGCTTAGATGAAGATGGTCACAATCTTGTTTGGAGATACAGAATATATACCTTCTAGCTACTTAATTCTATGAATAGGGAACTTGAGCCTTTATTTATACTTTTGTTTCTAGAAAAGCAAAGATGGTAAAAAAAAAAATGTAACTTTAATACAATAAAACTGGACTACTTTCCCCATGTCCTACTGAACAAACAAGGAACAAATACTGGCTATATATATTCACAAAATAAAATGTTATCCCTGGCTTTGCTATTGAAGGGCCACCATTTGATAAAGCCTAAATAAACAATAAACATACAGTAAATAAAAGAAAGAACACTTTGGCCTTGAGGTTAGTTGATATAATTTATAGCTTCTTATAAAATTGAAGGATATTATCTTTTTCTGACAAGAAAAATAATTAATGAACTAGCAAGATTTTCACTAAATTCTTAAAAAAATAAAATCTCTAACCTTTGTTACCTATGTGTACAAACTCACAAACTTCATTTTTTTAAGGAGTTAATTTTATATCCTTGATACTTGATTTTTTAAAAATATATTTTATTGATTTTTTACAGAGAGGAGGAGAGAGGGATAGAGAGCTAGAAACATCGATGAAAGAGAAACATCGACCAGTTGCCTCTTGCACACCCACTACCAGGGATGTGCCCGTAACCAATGTATATGTCCTTGACCGAAATCGAACCTGGGACCTTTCAGTCCGCAGACCAACACTCTACCACTGAGCCAAACTGGTTTCGGCACAAGCTTCATTTTTTAAATTACTTTTACGAAGCACAAGAGTGAGAATTACTGCTAATTATGAGTAAACCATGGCATGGATGATCCTTCCCACCTAAGTCTTCCAATATAGAAACAATTACAATCTTGTATAATAATATTACAGATAGGGCACTAAACAAATAATATTTAATGCTCTTTGCTCTGATTCATTAACACATATAGAATCACAGGGAAAAAGCCAACATCAGACCAATTCAAAAATCATAATTTCAAGAATAGTCAGGCATGTATAATAGCTTAAGAGAAACTGTTTTATTACTCTCAAGTGTGTGTGTACATACAAATACACTAAGTGTCCGACTTTTCAACCATTCCACTAGTAACTATGATGCACCCTGACCACCAGGGGGCAGACACTCAACACACAGGCATGAAAACATGGAACAGATTGATGAATCTCAGAGGGAAGAGAAGAGGGGGAAGGGCAGGAATGGATTAACCAAAGATCTTATATGCATACTATAGACCCGGTGCACAAATTCGTGCACCCATGGGATCCCTCGGCCTGGCCTGCAGTGATCAGGCCGAATCCACGCACTGAGCCTCCAACATCCCCTGAGAGGTCCGGATTGTGACACGGTGCAGTCCAGGCCGAGGGACCCCACCAGTGCATGAATGCGTGCACTGGGCGACTAGTATGAATAATAATTGTCTAATGAAAAACTGTCAGAGATAACTGGAAATCTGATAAGATTAATAAGTATTTGTAAATTCAATTACTTCAGAGGCTGATGCTGAATAGACAAAATATTTTAAAACAACTGGGTTTAGTTGACTAAAGGTTTCCTCTCTAATACTGTTTATACTTTTTAAAAGCTTATAATTATATTATTACATACTATATAATGTTATATATTGTATTTTATTATAATACAAAATAACTTTTACCTTAGTCTCCCACATGACTTACAAAGAATTAACTAGTATCAAAGTAAATTATCTACTGCCCTAACGGGTTTGGCTCAGTGGATAGAGCATCGACCTGTGAACTGAAAGATCCCAGGTTCCATTCCGGTCAAGGGCATGTACCTTGGTTGTGGTCACATCCCCATTGAGGGGGGGTGAAGAAGGGATGTGCAGGAGGCAGCTGATTAATGTTTCTCTCTCATTGATGTTTCTAACTCTCTATCCATCTCCCTTCCTCTCTGTAAAATATCAATAAAATTGCCCTGACCTGTTTGGCTCAGTGGATATAAGGGTCCCAGGTTCAATTCTGGTCAAGGGCATGTACATAGGTTGTGGACATATACCCAGTAGGAGGTGTGCAAGAGGTAGCTGATTGATGTCCCTCTAACCAATATTTCCAACTCTCTATCCCTCTCCCTTCCTCTCTGTAAAAAGGCAATAAAATATATATTTTTTAAAACTCAATAAAATATATTTTAAAAAATAAAATTAAAATTTTTTTAAAAAACTAATGTATCTACTGTTTTCAACCACTAGAACATAAAAGTGCCACAGCTGCTCCCCAAAATCCCAACACAAACAACAATCAATTTACCTGGCATGTTCTTCAGGAAGTTTTCTTTGTCTCTGCATATGAAACATTAGATCTCCTCCATTTACATACTCTATGACAAAGAACAACCTAAAACATAGGAAAGAACACATGAAACTAAGGTCCAAAAGAAGAAAATATAACTGTGCATTTTAAACATTATAGAGACCAGTCACAACTTAGAGCATTCTGTCATTTGCCCTGTACAAAATCTCAGGAATTTGGTGAAAACAAAGGGTGGTGGTAGTAGGAAGCTGTTCATCACAGTATATACAAGAAAGTAAACCAGCACAATAACATTCTGTAACCTCTTACTTCGTAGTATCAATTGCAATCCAGACCCTCACACTCCCACCCCAATTCTAGTGTTTGCATGATAAGTCACTTCAACTGTCCCTTAAGGTAAAGAAGTTAGGATTTCTCTCCCTAGTTAAACTCTGGGAAACTTAAATCTAAAGCTAAAACCTTAGAGATATTTAAAAATATAAATTTCTATTGCCATATTTCGACCATATATATAAATTCATCTTTATGGTTGAAAGTATTACAGATGTCTCCCCCCCCACCCATTTCTCCCTCTACCTTCTCTCCCACCCTCCTCTTCTTCCTCCCCCCCCCCCAGGCTATAATTTTTAAGCAGATAATTTCTTCATGCTAATCCAAACAGATATCACTGATGGGAGTTCGTGTGTCAGGAAATCATAAGCATCATATTGTTGTGTCTGTCTCCATGACTACTGCTTCAGGATTTATAGTATAAAGAGTTCTTATTGTGTAATATGTAAAACATGTAAAGCCCAGTAATCACTCCATCTTCCGACCTTACCTGCTTTCTGTCTGAAAGCAAGAATGCAGCCCAACAAGAAAAGGATGATTGGATGCCTGCTCAAAAACATGCTTCTCTGTCTGTACCCAGTCAATATCCTATTTTAAAATACAAGAGAAATGTTTATCAAACTGAAATATCATCAAACTATATTTTTTCTTGGCAATTCAATGATCACAAATGCAATTAACTAATTATGCTAAATATCAAAGAATGACTAATCATGCAACAACAATTTATATGCAAAGAGAAAAAAAACACTACCAGTAAACATTTCAATATTATGAAATGGTCTAGAAAACTTTTTCAAAGTTCAATCAAGTACTTTCCCTTGATCATAATATGATTTGATTTTTATTTTTAAAAAAATCTAATCATCAGATTTCTTTAAAAATATCTTATATAACCCATTTGAGGCATTATTTAGAAAAATAGATTGAAATAAGTCATAAGCATTGAGGTTTTCTCTGAAATGGTACACTTAAGTCAATTTAACAGTTTAGAAGTAATAAAACATTGTGCTTACCTCATCATCATTGACAAGCTCCTTTTTCACAACTTTCATTGCATAGATACGGTCTGTTTTTTTTAATCGTACCAACAGTACTTTGGCATAACTTCCTCTTCCTATTACCCGGAGCAAATCAAAATCCTGAAGACCTAGACTGGATGATGCTTTGCCACTTTCCCTGGTATTCATTGCCTGTTGAGAACATTTATATCAGAGTTATAACTGGCCCTAGCAGGTTGGCTTAGTGGTTACACAGCATTGGCCTGATGACTGAAGAGTCATGGGTTCAATTCCAGTTAAGGGCAGGTGCCTCGATTGCAGGCTTGATCCCCCGCCCCCAGTGAGGGCACATGTGTGAGGCAACCAATTGATGTTTCTCACTCCTCACTGCCCCCTCCCACTTCCAGTCTCTCTAAAAAAAAAAAAAATCAATAGAGAAAATACACTTGCATGAGGATTAACAACTAAAAAAGAATTATAACTGGAAGTATTTTGCATAAATATATTTCTAACATCTAGTTATACCTGTGACTATTTAAAAAATATTTTCTGATTTAAGTTCTTAATAATTCTTTTCTAACATCATTCCAAATGATGCAATCTAACTACTCAAGAAATGGGACAAATTCACGAGTTGAAAGTACAGAAGAAAACTCCAGGAAAATAAGTAAATCAAATGGAGGCAAGAAATCTATCAGGTATAGAGTTCAAAACACCAGTTATAAGAAAGTTCAATGAATTGAGAGAAGAGTAGATAAACTAAGTGAGAACTTCAACAAAGAGATAGTAAACATAAAAAAGGACATGGACACCATAAAAAAAAAATCACAAATGAAAAACCCAATACCTTAAATAAAGAATACGCTAGAAGAATCAACAGATTAGATAAAGCAGAAGATCAACTCAGTGACTTGGAAGACAAGGTAGTGGAAAACACCCAATCAGAACAGGAAAAAGAGGAAAAGATTTTTAGATATATATATTTTATTGATTTTTTTTTTTTTTTTTTTTACAGAGAGGAAGAGAGAGATGGTTAGAAACATCGATGAAAGAGAATCATGAATCAGCTGCCTCTTGCACACACCCTACTAGGGATGTGCCCGCAATCAAGCTACATGCTCTAGACAAGAATTGAACCTGGGACTCTTCAGTCTGCAGGCCGAACCGGTTTCAGCGGAAAAGAATATTTTAAAACGAGGTCAGTTTAAAACCTCTGGAAAAACATCAATATACCAACATTTGCATCATCAAGTAACTAGGAGAAGAGAGAGAACAAGGATTGAAAACAGATTTGATAAAATAATGATTGGAAACTTCCTTAACCTCATGAAAGAAACAGATACACAAGTCCAGGAAGCACAGAGACACAAACAAGATGAACCTCAAAAGGCCTACAATAAGACACATTATAATTAAAATGCCAAAGATTGAAGACAAACCATTAAAAGCAGCAAGAGAAAAGCAGTTAGTTACCTACAAGGAAGCTCTGTAGATTGTCAGCTGATTTCTCAACAAAAACTTTATAGGTCAGAAGGAATTGGCATAAAATATTCAAAGCAATGAAAAACAAGAATCTACAATCAAGATTACCCAGTACAGCTATCATTTAAAAATCAAAGGAGAGATGAAGAGTTTCCCAGATAACAAAAAGCTCAAGGAATTCATTATCACCAAACCAGTATTTCAAGAAATGTTAAAGGGACTTCTTTAAGAAAAAAAGAGAAACAAATGTGAATAACAAAATGATAGTAACTATATACCTATCATCACTTTAAATGTAAATAGATTAAATGCTCCAATCAAAGGACACAGGGTGGCTAAATGGATCAAAAACATGACTCATACATATGTTGTCTACAAGAGACTCATTTCAGATCAAAAGCACACACGGATGAAATATAAAGGAATAAACAAAGATATTTCATGCAAATGGAAATAAAACAAAAAAGCTGGGGTAGCAATACTTCTATTAGACAAAATAAACTTTAACACAAAAGTTATAATAGAAGACAAAGAAGGACAATACAATAATAATAAAGGGATCAACCCAGCAAGAAGATATAACCCTTGTAAACATTTACACACCCAAGTAGGAGCACCTAAATTCATAAAGAAAATATTGATAGAGCTATAGGGTCAGATCAACAGTAGTTATTGGGGACTTTAATACCCAACTGGCATAAATAGATAGATCATCCAGACAAAATCAAGAAGGAAATAGCAACCTTAAGTGACATATTAGACCAAATAGATGTAATTGATATTTTTAGAACATTTCATCCAAAAGCAACAGAATATACATGTACTTTTCAAGTATTATACACAGAGAACATTTTCCAGGATGGACAACATTTTAGGTCACAAATAAGTCTTCTTAAATTCCAGAAGATTGAAATAATTTTAAGCAACTTTTCTGACTGCAGTGGTATGAAACTAGAAGTGAATTACAAGAAAATAACTGGACAGCACACAAAAACATGGAGACTAAACAATGAATGGGTTAACAACAAGATCAAGGAAGAAATCGAAAGATACCTGTGACAAATGAAATGAAAACGCAACCCAAACATCTATGGGACACAGTAAAAGCAGTCCTAAGAGGGAAATTCACAAAAATGCAAGCCTACCTCAAGAAACAAGAAAAGGCTCTCCTCCCAGAAACACACCCATGCGTTTCCATTTCCTATCCCCATCCCCTCCCTTCTCCAGGCATGTTACTACTAGCTTCCTCACTCCCAAGCTCCAACAATCTTTCCTTATCTCCATAACTTGTTTTCTAAATCCATTTCTTCTAGGAATTACTTCTTCTACCTCTGTGATTTACCAAATAAATGTTCTCTTACAATTTGGGTCTTCTTGGTTCTGAATTCTTTCCTAGCCAAAACCCAAGTACCAAAAAAACTCAAGTAAAAAAACAAACAAACAAACAAAAACCTCTCTGGAGTTTTCTCCTGTATATTAACCCTTTTTTAAAAAAAAGAAAGAAGAAAAATCAATTTGTCTTATTTTTATGCTGTCAAGTCTTATTAAAAGGCATAGCCAGTTTTGCTCAGTGGATAGAGCATCAGCCCACAAACTGAAGGGTCCCAGTTTTGATTCCAGTCTAGGGCATATCTCTCCATCGCAGGTGCGATCCCCAGCCCTGGTCCAGGTGCATGAGGGAGGCAAACAATCAATGTGTCTTTCTCACATCAATGTTTCTCTCTGTCTCTCCCCTTGCCTTCTACTCTCTCTAAAAATCAATGGAAAAATATCCTCAGTGAGGAATAAAAAAAACAAAAACTAATGGTATAATGTACAATAAGATTAACCTTCAATAAACTAACATGAACAATAATTTTAAACATTTTTATTTAAAAAAATAGCAACTTTTAAACATTAAAAAAAAAATACTAATTAACTTACCTCCTTTTCTTCACCAACTTGGTCCAAACTCTCATGACTTGAAGGATTATATGGAATTACTAAAAACCCAATCCCAAACATAAAAAAAAAAGAGAGAGAAAAACAGCATCCATTAGCTGATTTTAACTTAAAATTTCCTCTTGATTTTATTATTTGAGTTTTCTTTCTGGTCTTGATCATTTAAAATTAAGTAACTGTCTTACTAATAACAAAGTGTATATAATATGAATTAAATTTTAATATTTGTAAAGGAGAGCAAAAACCAATCAGTAACCAAGTACTGATTTTAACAAGTATTTTTGCTATTTTAAAAATATTTCCCTTCTTCACAAATTAATCAATTTCTCTGTAAGGGTGACTCTATAAACCCTAATTGATTATTTTAGTATGAGTGAGGCATGGAAGTAGAGGGTCTCTGGTTTTCATTCCTCACTTCTTTCATAATCAAAATGCCCCTAACTACTGCACCACGTAGGTGAAGTAAAGAACTGAGAAGATTCTACTCTTGGCTTCTATTCCTTGAAGCCACTTGGATTACAAAAACAAAAAAAAATCCTATATTTCATACAAGCAGCAAAGTCCTTGCTTTGCCTTCCTTGATTCATCCCCTAATAGGCTTCCCTATCCCATTTAATTGCTCCTTAAATTTCCCAGATACACATTTGAGATTTGTATCTACTTGACATTTGAATTCACATGCTCTTTTTTGAATTTTTATACTGTATCTCTATGTCTTTACATATTTTCTACTTCTGATAATAAAGCTTTTAATAAAAACGGGTCACTTTAACATAGTCAACATGGCCCACAAAATCAGTATGATTGCATTATTGAAAAAAAAAAAACCAACTAGGTTTGCTGAATTTAAAGGGGTCTTAAACAAAATTAATTTAAATTAGAGAAAACAGTCATTTGTTGTAGTTTACATATTTGTCTTTTTAAAATGTCAAATGTATGTTAAATATTGTGACGATATCACCACCATAAAATATGGTTACATCGCTTTTATGTAGGAAGAACAGAATTTTTTTTTAAACTTAGGTGTAAGAGTCACTGAAAGAAGTTTCTCAACGATATTTTGTTAATGAACAATAATTCACGACAGTGTCATTTTTACCTGTTTGGGAATGGTCTGTGTGCATGGATGACTGATCCATGGGCGTCATTGGTTCCTAGAAACATTTCCAAAGAAACAGTAACTTAGTAAAGTCTTTTTAAATCTCACTATCTCTATAAATTCTGGAGCATTTTAATGAGACACATCATATTAACACATAAATTTGACAAATATAACTTATAATAAGAACTATATTACTATATTAATTTGTTTTCAACTTTACTATATGATACCATATAATATTCCTGTAAATGAGGTAGTGTCACATTTTACAGTTAACAGAAGGAACACATAAAACTAATTTCAGGCCATCAAATAGAAATAAAAATTATTCTTCTTTATATTCTGATTTCTCTTATACACTACCTAATCTTCTTTCAAGCTCCATATACACTTTAAGTCTCTGGGAGGAGTCTCTAGTATTTTACTTCTTTAGCTAAAGCCCAGAGATGGATTTCAAGATGTCTACAAACCTCTTGAAATTCCATGTAAAATTTTGAGGTAAGTTGTCAGTGAACCAAAAAATAAATAAATATCCCCTAGAAATTGACTTAACCACTGTCACTAACCTAGGATAATACTAATTCAAACAAAAATGTTACTAATTCATTAATCTTGGAACCAGATTTAATGAATACCAGCAAGAAAAGGTGAACCTGAGAAGGAGCATTAATTTTAATACAGTTATAATTTTATAAATTCATGAGCCTTAAAGATGGGGCTCATGAATTTCTTAATGCATTTAGCACCTATTCTAAATATAATCCCTAGCCCTGTCCCTCTTTATTCCCCCCACTTATAAATCCACACAAGTCATCCATCACCTAGGAACACGCGCACATATATCAGTAGTAACCTTGAGAAATTACATTCATACTTTTTGGCCTTCTATTTTTCCTTAAGATTGGATTTTTACCTCTGTAACTTGTACAAACCCACGTCTAAGCTTATATGAACCAGCTAAGAAATTCTAATACCAAAGAGACACCACCAATAATCTTTGTTCAAAGAAGATACTATGAGTAAACATGGTATAATCATTTTGGAAGACAATTTAGAAGGAGGCATCCGGATCTTTTTAAAGATCTTTTTAAATATCTTTAACCCAGTAATTCTTCTTCTTAAGATTTTTTAGATCTTTTTAGATCTAAAAGATCTTTTTAGATCTTTAAAGATCTTTTTAAATATCTTTAACCCAGTAATTCTTCTTAAGATTTTTTAGATCTTTTTAGATCTAAAAGATCTTTTTAGATCTTTAAAGATCTTTTTAAATATCTTTAACCCAGTAATTCTTCTTCTTAAGATTTATTCACCAGTAAATTCATTGTGATTTTCTTCTTAGGAAAATTTAGAAAAACAACTCAACTGTTTAATCATGAAGAACAGGTTTAAAAATTATGGTATAAACAAATAACAAAATATTATGCTAAAAGTGATGAGGATATAGATAGCTAAATATAGAAAGAGGACCAAAATATATTATTCAGTAAGAAAAATGGGTTAGAAAACATTACCCATATGATTTCACTTTTGTTAAAAAGCATGTAAAAGAATGAGACATCCAAATATTATGTGCCTTCTGATGAATAAACACACCACCACTGATAAAGTAGTCTCAAAAATAACCCACAAAAATAAAACCCAAGCCTACTATCTAATCAATCCTCTAGATCGAACTATAATATACAGAAAATAAAGAGGAAAGAGGAATATTTTAAACAATATCATGAAAAAAAGTAAAGAGAAAAATTAAGAAAAACTGACAATACAGTTTCTTCTATAATTAAATTGTAAGAGAGGGGGAAGAGTGAGCAAGAATGAGAGAGCAACACAAACAGAAGGGAAGAGAGGGAGCGATAGAGCAGTCAGTAAATTTAAAAATAGGGAAGATGTATCAATCAATTACAAATATGGGCTTCATTTGATCCTGATTTATAATGAAAATTGTAAAAACAAAACATTTATGAAACAACTGAAAATATGAACATTGCCTGGATGGATATCTGACATAAGGAATTTTGATTTTAGAGTTTAAAAAGAATCTTTATTGTTAGAGGTACATTCTGAAACATGTCTGGGATTTGTTTCAACATAACACAGGGTTAAATGGGCAGGGGTACAGATGAAACAAGATTGATAGTGTATTAATAACTGTTGGAGCAGTGTGATTGGTATATGGGAGTTCATTACATGGTTTCAGCTACCCTTAATGTATGTTTAAATTTTTCCTACAAGGAAAAATTTTAAATGTTTAAACATATAAATCTGCATGGAAAGATATACACAAATGACAACTACCTTTAGATGATAGATTTCATGGGGGATTTTTATTTAATTTTTCTTTATTTATCTGTATTCTCTATTTTTTTCTATAATGAACATATTTTTATTACATATTTAAAAAAAGAAAGAGAAGCCCTAGCTGGTTTGACTCAGTGAATAGAGCATCGGCCAAAGGGTCCCGGGTTCCATTCTAGTCAAAGCTTTGAGTCGATTGCAGGCTCCTCCCTGGCCCAGGCTGTGGTCAGGGGACGTGTAGGAAGCAACCAATTGATATGTTTCTCTCATATCTATATTTTTCTCTGCCTTTCCTTATTTCTTTCACTTTCTTTAAAATCAATGGAAAAATATCCTTGAGTGAGGATTTTTTTTTAAAAAGTGAAAAATAGCCCTAACCAGTTTGGCTCAGTGGATAGAGCATCAGCCTGCGGATTAAAGGGTCTCAGGTTTAATCCTGGTCGAGGGCACATGCCTGGGTTGCAGGCTCGATCCCCAGTAGGGGTTGTGCATGAGGCAGCCGATGAATGATTCTCTCCCATCATTGATGTTTCTATTTCTCTCTCCTTCTCCCTTCCTCTCTAAAATAAATAAAAATATATTCAAAGAAACAAAAGAAAGTGAAAAATAAAAATTTTAAATGCAAAACTCTCTAGTTACTTTAAATAGCAAACGTGAAGACTGTTCTTACCTGATCTGTGCTTTAGTGTTCATGCTCGAGTAATGGGAGCTATCAACTAATGAGGTTAGCTTAAAGAAGAGAAAAAAAATCTCTTAAATGCTTCTCTATAAATCCTTCTAGTAAGACCAGAGGATTTTATATCAGGCTAAATAGAAAAGTTAACTATATCCTACAAACAAATTTGTAATGACAATTCCCAAATTCACAACATGTTAGCTGACTGTAAAATATTCCTACCCACATTCCATAACAACACTGTTGAGTTGTGATTCCTTAACAGCCCCCCTTCCCCACCACCACACACATACCACTTTAGACCTCTGTTATGGTAACATCATAAAAAAATGCTCTATTAAAAATAAAGAAGACAACAGTGTCTTACTGGTGGTAAAGAATGTCGCCCACATTCAATTGTGACAAGTTTGTGGCACTTCTTATGAACCAGGAGTTTGCAGTTGATGCATTTATATCCCTGGCGTCCAAGTCCCCATATCCGGTCAGTACAGATGGCACAGTGGGCACGCTGGGAAGTGTAATTCAAAAGAATTCAGTAAAACAACAACAAAAAGGTCATAATCATTCCCCAACAGTTTGTTCATAAAATAGTGAAAATAAGTAGCCTTCTTCTCTAATTCAGTTCTCTTCATCATACATGACTTTCTCAAAGCTATGATGGACTGGGAAAAATAAACAAAAAAGAGAGCTTGTTTTAAAGAGACAGTGAGCCCTGGTCCAGTGGCTCAATTGGTTGGGTGTTGTCCCGTGCACTGAAGGGTTGCCTTTTCAATTCCAGATGAGGGTATATGCCTGGGCTACGGACTTGATCCCCAGTAGGGAGCATGCAAGAGACAGCAGATGGATGTTTCATTCTCACATCAATGTTTCTCTCTCTCCCTTCCTCAATGTTTCTCTCTCTCCCTTCCTCTCTCTAAAAATAAAAAATTAAAAAAAAAAATAGGTTTAAAGAGTGAACATTTATGGAATATCATGAACAACATAAACAGATGAACAAAAACAGATCCAGAGACAGAGAAATATCGATCAGACTATTAAACCCCAGAGGGAAGTTAGGGGAGGATGGGGGTAAGGAGGAGAGATCAACCAAAGGACTTATATGTATGCATATAAGCCTAACCAATGGACACAGACAACAGGGGGGGGTGAAGGCATGGGGGGGAGATAATGGGAGATAAGGACACATATGTAATACTGTAATCAATAAAAAAAATTATAAATTAAAATAAAATAGAGTGAAATTTGCAACATGTTGTTTTTTTTTGTAAGTCCAATACTTTTCAGTCTTCATATAATTAGGTTGAGATTATAACAATAGGAAAAGTGAGTAAACTTGGAAAACATATGGCAGAAAATATGGTACAAGGACTCTCAATCAAAAATAAACCTTCTAGATTGTTTAGAGGTCAAACCAAAGCCCTGCTCTCTTAAAGAGCAATACTTAAAGTGACTTTTCATTTTAAAGCTTTTTTCTGTTATTATGTTTTTATTGATCTTAGAGAGAGAGGAAGGGAGAGGGAGATAAAGAGAGAGAACATCAATCATACATACCCCAACACACAACCTGGGCATTTGCCCTGATCAGGATCAAACCAACAACCTTTTTGTGCATAGGACTAAGTTCAACTGAGTCAGATCAGCCAAGGTCAAAGCTTATTAATTATCAGTGGTACCTTGGGTGGTAACTTCTATTTACATTAATGAATTCAGAACATGGCACCAGTTTTAAAATGGAAATGGGAGTCTATTGGTTTAGTTATCAATAGTTAAAAATGTGAACTTCTGCCGAAACCGGTTTGGCTCAGTGGTAGAGCGTCGGTCTGCGGACTGAAAGGTCCCGGGTTCGATTCCGGTCAAGGGCATGTACCTTGGTTGCGGGCATATCCCCAGTAGGGGGTGTGCAAGAGGCAGCTGATCAATGATTCTCCCTCATCGATGTTTCTAACTCTCTATCCCTCTCTCTTCCTCTCTGTGAAAAATCAATAAAATATATTTTTTTTAAAAAAAGTGTACTTCTAGAGATAAATGCTTTCAAACCATGGCTTTGCAACTTACTAGCTTTCTCAACTTGAGTAAGTTATTTAAATGCCCTACCCCTCAGTTTTTTCATCTATAAAATGGAAATATATAGTACCTATCTCACAAGGTTGTGGTATGATTAAATAAATTAGTATATGTCAAGCATTTGGAAAAGTATCTGAAACATAGTAAAAGCTAGGAAAGTATTTGTAATTATTATTTTCTAAACAGTGAAAATTAAAATTACATTATTAAATGATTTGCAAAATAAACCTTGTTTATTTTATGAGTATCTGGCTTTATATTAAAAAAATACAACATTCTTATAGATAGAATAACCATATAACTAATCATCAAATCAGGAACATTTTTAAGAGTGACGGGAGATTCTATTAAAAATTACATCATCATGCCGGGACTGGTTTGGCTCAGTGGATAGAGTGTCGGCCTGCGGACTGAAAGGTCCCGGGTTCGATTCCGGTCAAGGGCATGTACCTTGGTTGCGGGCACATTCCCAGTGGGGGGTGTGCAAGAGCAACTGGTCGGTGTTTCTCTCTCATCGACGTTTCTAACTCTCTGTCCCTCTCAATTCCTCTCTGTACAAAAATTAATAAAATATATTTTTTTAAAAATTACATCATCAAGAAAACAGGTACACTACACAAACTGGGAATGTTAGGTAACCATATTCCTTTAAAGGGGAATAACAAGACTACCTTTCTTTCACAATAGAGAGGGAAAAAATAAATTTCTCAAATTATCAACTTTCAACAAACTAAGGTTTACCCTGTTGAAACGCTTGGCTTGAAAAGTGTGGCCATTTGCACAATAAAGCTTTCTCCAGCGGCGAGCACCTCTCCGGTAGATGGACTCTGAAAAGAGAATGAGAGTTTAAAAATGAGCAAGTGTGGATAAAAATCATTATCGTAATTAAGTCTGTTATTTTTTTTCATGATATTGTTAGCAAGAAAATAATTTATATTGATAAAAATCTGAAAGTGAAAAAATAAACTGGATTCATAAGGGACTTGATGGAAATATAGCCCATGGAATAAATGTTTCATTAACTATTATTACTTTTCTGTTTTTGCATTTTCCCCCAATTCCTAATTTTGCAATAAATGCCTGCATCCTTCACCAAGATTTACCAATAACTACATTTTATTTTGACTCAATATATGTACTACCTAAGCAAGCACTTGCTTTCCTCTCTATTTACACATACACTTTCTCCTGAATCACTTAAAGGTTGCAGAGATCATTAACACTTCACCCTTAAGCTCCCATTGCCTAAGATTAAGGACATCCCCCACTAATTTTACTTAAGCACATGTCTTAAAAATTAGCATTACCATGTCTTAGAAAATTAGCATTAATTTAATACGAAATATGCAGTTCAGATGCAAATTTTGCTATTTGCCCTCAATGTGTCAGTCATAGCTTCCTTTTACTCTCTAAGATCTAATCAAGATTCCGGCATTGCATTTGGATTTTCACTGTTTAGAAAATGATAATTGCAAGAATGCTATAACCTTTTTGTCTCTTTCATGTATGCTAAAACACTCAACTTTGTTGTTTGTTTTTCATAAAGTTGAGGATTTTTTTTTAAGTCTATGCAACAGTCTTAGGTTCTACATTCTGGATTTATCTCTTTCCTCATTAGTGTTAGTAACAAGCATTTTGCCAAAAATAATACATAGGTGACAAATCAAGAAATACACAAATGGCCAAAACCGGTTTGGCTCAGTGGATAGAGCGTCGGCCTGCGGATTGAAAGATCCCGGGTTCGATTCCGGTAAAGGGCATGTACCTTGGTTGCACGCGCAGCCCCAGTAGGGGGTGTGCAAGAGGCAGCTGATGGATGATTCTCTCTCATCGATGTTTCTAACTCTCTATCCCTCTCTCTTCCTCTCTGTAAACAATCAATAAAATATATTTTTTTAAAAGAAAAAAAAAAGAAATTAGAAATACACAAATGTCAGATTGTTGACTCTCACTACTAATGCTCACTCTATTGAAGGCAGTGATTACTAGTTCTCTTTATTGTAAAGGTACATTTTCCTTTTTGTAAGCAATCTTACAAATATTTAAGTGACATTTTGTAACCACAAGAATATTCTCTTCCCCAACAACCTTTCATCCAATTGTCTTTAAATTAATGCTCTTCCTAAACAAAGAACTGCCACAAAACCATTCCAGACTACCGGTGAAATTTTGGTTTTAAGTCAATCACTATTATATATATTGTCTATTAGTCATTAATAAATATTCCATAATAGTAGTTAATACTGTGGAAAGATTCCATTAGGTTTCTAAATTCATTTTAAAGCAAATGTAGCACTGGGTTTACTATTTAAAATTTAAATAGAAAAGACCAATTGAAATAGTCTGAATTAGAAATCTTGAGATAGTGTAATATATAACCTTAAATATAGGTGTTTTTTTAAAAAAATTTTATTGATTTTGTACAGAGAGGAAGGGAGAGAGATAGAGAGTTAGAAACATCGATGAGAGAGTCATCCATAAACTGCCTCTTGCACAACCCCTAGTGGGGATATCCCCTCAACCAAGGTACATGCCCTTGACGGGAATCGAACCCAGAACCCTTCAGTCCCCAAGCCGATACTCTATCCATTGAGCCAAACCGGTCTCGGTAGGTGTTTTATTTTTTTTTTTTTAATATATTTTATTGATTTTTACAGAGATGAAGAGAGACAGAGAGCCAGAAACGTTGATGAGAGAGAAACATCGACCAGCCGCCTCCTGCACATCCCCCACCAGGGATGTGCCCACAGCCAATGCACAGGCCCTTGACCGGAATCGAACCCGGGACCTTTCAGTTTGCAGACCAACGCTCTACCACTGAGCCAAACCGGTTTCGGCAGGTGTTTTATTTTTACTTAAATAAATTTTTATTGATTTCAAAGAGGAAGGAAGAGGGAGAGAAACATCAATGATGAGACAGAATCACCGAAGGCTGCCTCCTGCACATCCCACACTGGAATCAAGCCTGCAACCAGGCATGTGCCCTGGCAAGGAATCAAACCGTGACCTCCTGGTTCATAGGCTGACACTCAACTACTGAACCACGCCTAGATGTTTTCTTTTTAATTATTTATTCTGGTAGGAGTAACCAAAGCTGAAATAACATTTTATTTCAGAAGCTTTCATGAACTACATCTTGATATATCTTAAATTTAAACATGTTAATGTTGGCTAGAAATTAAAAGAGCCAAGAGACCACTTTAATTGTTATCAATTTCCCCCCATGCTCTAGCTTATTATTTATTATACTGTAGAACAGGTAGTATCAAAATCTCCACCAGCAAATTTTAAAGAGGGAAAGTGGGCATGAAATATAGTGAAAAAGTTACAAAATGTTTTATCTGTATGCTGCAGACCTATAATACAATGGAAGATGGAACTCTAAAACCAAGATCTGCCATAATGACAAGTCTTTTAAAACCTTAGCTTGGCCAGAGAGAGCAGCCACTTGCTTCACAGCTCTCTGAAGGTAGCCTATGCTGGCTTCAATCGATCTGCCACTGGAAGTCCAGAGAACTATTCCTAGCTGAATCCAAACTAACATTTTTCACTTCTGATCAGAGTTCTATCTATTTCTTATAGTTAACCATTTTCCTATATAGTATATGGTCCCATTCGACTTTATGAATATATGAATGGGACCATATAATTTAATGAATATCCATAGTACTTTAATTTTTTTATATATGAATATGAATATGAATATCCATATATGAATATCCATAGTACTTTAATTTTTTTTTTCTTTATCAAGTTGCATGGAGAGTCATAGAATTAAAAGTTAGAACTACTACCCTGGTCAGTGCAACTCAGTGATTGGAGTGTTGTCCTCTACACTAAAAGGTGGCAGGTTTGATTCCCACTCAGGGTACCAGATTGTGGGTTCAGTCCCCAATTGGGGTGCATGTGGGAGAAACAGATCAATTTTTCTTTCTCACATTGCTACTACTCTCTCTCCCGCTCCCTTCTTTCGCTTCTTCTCTCTACAAAAATAAAATTAAAAAATCAATTAAAAATTTTGAAATTTTTTTTAAAGTTAGAACTACTTCATTTAATTTTTAATATTTATCACAATTCCTTCTAAAGTCATGGATATGTATAGAAATCACAAATGAAAATGAGTTGTCTAATATCCACAACTAATAAATTATACCATATAGCAAAAGCAATAAATTATGCTCATACATAAGCATAATTTTTCTGAATATTTAAATTATATCAGGACAAATAGTTGTTTGACTCTTTCAATTCATTCACTAAAGGCAATCACTAGCTTAGACATTCAAAAGAAAATCCTGTAACAACTCCTAAGGATGCATGCTGAAGTGTTTAGAGGTAAAGTGTTATGCCCGTTACTTACTCTCAAATGGTTCAGCAAATAAAAGTAAAAATAAAACAAGTGTTTCCTATGTATATACATATATGCATATGTGTGCACACATACACATAAAGAGATAGAGCAAACACAGACAATGTTAAAAACTGGTGAATCTAGGCAAAGGATATATGAGTATCTTGGTTTTCAATGTTGTTTCAACTTCTCCATAGGTTTGAAATTTTCCAAAATTAAAAACCCAGAAGAAATGTGACTTAACTTTCCTTTCAAATGCAGAATAGATAATTATGTCAGTAAGTTATAACTAAGAACTGCCTTATTTTGATCTGGCAAAGTAGAACTTAGGCAGTTCTTAATATATTCTAAATTATAGACTAAAGAATGGAAAAGAAACCAAAGGAATTAAAATTTCTATTACTGATTTCCTTTCACTTATGCTACTGTGTCATAAAACACTTTTATTAAGTGGTATGAAGTATATAAATACTCACTATCTTCTCCTGGACAGGGCATTCCAGGACGTTCTGGTACACAAGGAAATACTGAAAAAAATACAACAAATTTAAAATATACAAATTACATAGAATTTTAAATTCAAATACCAAAAAAATTGACCCAAACTTCAATCTGACCCTCTTTTGACACAGATACTTAGCATATAGTCAGCATTATTTGTTTAAAGAGATCTACTTTACCAACAGTATCTAAAAAATAGTTTCAATGAAAGTAACCATTAATAAATAATGCATCAGAAGCTCAAATTACTCATTCCAGTCTCTGTTACATCACTGATTTTTTTTTTTTGGCTTAGATAAATCATTAACTACTATTCCTTTAAATCCTTGTTGTAGTGACAAGTTTACTACAATGAATAAATTATAAAAATGTATACAAGTATGAACATAAACCATTACAGTTTTTAAAAGATGTATACTAAACTTAGGAATAACAACAACAGAAACAGTACTCAAATCCAAGAATGTAAGTTTTATGTTAGAAACTATAGATTTATAAATAAGCTAACTCAGATCATTTTTCTATAGAGAGATAGAAGAAATATTATATGAACATTTAACCAACTGTTTGTAGTCTGTGATGTACAAAAGAATCCTATTTAATAAAAGCCTAATACGCTAAGTGTCCAGTCATCCATCCAACCAATCAAAGCGTAATATGCTAATGACATGTTAAGGACATTCAACTGCTCGCTATAACGTGCACTGACCAACGGGGGGCAGATGCTCCAACTGGTAGGTAAGTTTGCTGCTGAGGTCTGGCCAATCAAGACTGAACAAGATGGGCCAGACACACACTGAAGCCCTCCTGTGTCACTCCCCAGCCCCGATCATGCACTAGTGGGGTCCCTCAGCCTAGCCTGCACCCTCTCGCAATCTGGGACCCCTCCAGGGGCCACATTGACTGTCAGGTAGTTCCAGCTATATCATAAAAACCTAAGTTCCACATACATATACATATACATATACATATACATACATATATATATATGAGGTAATATGCAAATTAGCTGGGATGCCATAACAGTCACAACCGGCTCAGGAGGAGGCTGCACATGCAGCAGAGTAGAGCATGCCCCCAGAGAGTGGGGAGCAAGGAGGGTCTGCCTGCTTGTCGGGGCACACCAGCAGTCCTGCCTGTGTGTGTGAGCTGCAGAGGAAACACCTTTTCTGACCACTCATTGGTTAAGCTCCTGGTACGCCACTCACAATATTCCTGGTAACTTGCGTAATGAGAATCCAAGAAGGTGATCTAGGGTTTTTCCAACTCACTCCTAGAGGAAAAAAACAAAGGTCTGCTGCTGGAGGGGCTAAGATATGTCATATCCTGCCCTAGCCAGTTTGGCTGGGTGGATAGAGCTTCAGCATGCTGACCACAGAGTCCAGGTTTGATTCTGGTCAACAGCATGTATCTAAGGTTGCAGGCTTCTCCCTAGTCAGGGCTCATGCAGCAGGCAACCAATCGAAGTGTCCCTCTCACAGTGATGTTTCTCTCTGTCTTTCCTCTCTCTTCCATGCTCTCTAAAAATCAATGGAAAAATATCCTCAGGTGAGGATAAAAAAGAAAGAAAGAACTGTCATATTCTATAAAAGAGACATCTTGAAAATGCCTAAAGAAAGTTATCATTTTTTCGTGGTGAAGGAACTGGAGTCCATGTTGATGAAAACACCTTGGCGGCTGTGGCAACTGGCAGTGGCAGCAGCAGCAGGGTGAAGGGCAGCGCCTTCCACTGATCAGCTCAGTTGCCTTCTGCAGAGGGAGTCCAGACTACAGCTTAGGCTCCATGGAGAGAAGACCTACGCCATCAATAAAACATACCCTGAGGGCTCCCAGATTGCAGAGGGTGTAGGTCAGGCTGAGGGAACCACTCCCCGGTGTACGAATTTTGTGCACCGGGCTTCTAGTCTATATAATAAAAGCCTAAGTGGCCGTTAAGGGAGAATAACCAGAACAACCAGTCACTATGATGCTCACTGACCAACAGGGGGCAGGTGCGCAATGCTGGAGCTACTCCCTGGTGGTCAGTGCACTCCCATAGGGGAAGTGCCACCCAGACAGAAGCTGGGCTCATGACTGGTGAGCACAGCAGTGGTGGGGGAAGCCTCTTCCACCTCCGTGGCAGCACTAAGGTGCAGCAAGGTGAGCGAGAAGGAGCGGGCAGGCAGGCAGGCAGTAAGGAGTGAGGGATCCCGGTCTGCGAGAGAGATGTCTGACTGCCAGCTTAAGCCCGATCCCCTTAAGCTGGCAGACAAACATCCCCCAAGGGGTCCCAGACTGTGAGAGGGGCAGGCCAGGCTGAGCGACTCCCCAGTGCAGGAATGCACCAGGCCTCTAGTCTATATATATAAAAGCCTAATGTGCTGTGTGTCCGACCATTCGACCATTCACTGTTATGTGCACTGACCACCAGGAGGCAGAGCTCCAAGCAGTACGTTAGTTTGCTGCTGGGGTCCGGCTGATCGGGACTGGGCGAGATGGGCCAGACATGCCCCGGAGCCCTCCCGTGGTACCTCTCCAGCCAGGTCAGGGGACCCCACTGGAGCATGAATCTGTGCACCGGGCTTCTAGAAGGTTTGATAAAGATCACAGAGTATGAGAGGGGCAGTTCCTTATAGATTCTTAAAAGTTGAAATATAAACTAGTTTCTGAAAATAGATCTGTGATATAGTATTAAAACTTAAAATAAACAGTTTAATACTATTGACCAATCATTTCTTTAAACATTCATTGTAGTTTTATTCTAAAAAGAGATGACTCTCAAAATAGAAAACATAAAGTTCTTCAAGGATCTCAACAAATTAGATTATGTGGCCCTTAGGAGTCACTATGTCAAATTCTAACAGTAGAAAAAAGTCAAACTACTATTTGTCAAAAAGCATACTGTATAGAAAAGTATAAGGAAATTACAACAAAGAATTGAAATGATTCATTATACTTAAGGGAGATTTATATCTACTTCAAGTTTTAAAGAGTTTCCTAGGTCTCCTAAATCTCCCCAAAATGTTCCATAAAAAACTGTCAATGTATTGCAATTAAATGCAATACATCAAGTGGTTTCTACATAAGATTAAAAATGGAGAGGTAGCATGGGAGAATAAAAAGAACACAGATTTGGCCAGTTGGTGTGGCTCAGCAGTTGAGCATTGACCCAGGAACCAAGAGATTGCCGGTTCAATTCCTGGTCAGGGCACATGCCCAGGTTGCAGGCTTAATTCCCACATGGCAGCCAATCGATAATGTTCCTCTCTCATGGATGTTTCTATTTCTCTATCCCTTTTCTCTCCCTTCCTCTCTCTCTCTCAATAATATATATATATATATATATATATATATATATATATATATATATATATATATATATAGAATACAGATTTGGAATCAGAATACCTAGATTTACAACCCAGGTTTACATTGTACTAGTTACATGCTAGCTGAGTTTAGGTTTCTTCTATACCACTATCCACCTCTCAGGCTTGCTGACTTTTAAATATGTAATAACTATAAATAGTGTCACTGATAACCCTTAAACAAAAGAAAGGACAAAATAGTTTCACTGATAATCCTTAAACAAAAGAAAGGACAAAATAGTGTCACTGATAATCCTTAAACAAAAGAAAGGACATTGACGATACCTTACTTTTAGAGATCATTGTTTGCATAAATTAAAAACTGCAAGTTCTATGCTACATTTTGTTGTGAAACACTGAATTGTACTATCCAAGGAGCATACATAAATAATAAATTCTCAAGATTAAAAAAGCTGACTGATTTTGTCTTCTCTAGCAATTGAGAAACTACTAAGGATAATTATATAATGATGAGCAATAGAGATTAAAAAAATGACATCAAAATTTTGTTTTAATTTGGTGGTGGGTTTGTTTTTGTTGTTTTTTTTTTTTTGTGTGTGTGTGTGTGTGTGCGTGTGTTTAATATTGCTCTAGAAGAATAAGAAATGACACGCCTTTACCATGAATCAAGAGTTCAGAATCCTTGTTCAGCTCATAAAGCCTAAAGGCTTCTTCTAACTCCAACTGAGATGATACTGTACACGGATCTCCTGCAAAATATAAAAATTAAAGGTAAGCTCACTTTTTAAATCCTCTAAATGTGATGATTAGAAAACAGTTTCTGTTACATAAAGTCTTGAGGGGGAAAAATGACATAACATACAGAGAGAAATATTTGACAAGGACAAATCTTTACATATTTAGGTAATTCTGTTCTCTAAAGTAGTTAATATATTTCCATTTCTATTTCCACAACCTACTGAAGGTTAATAGACACCAAATTTTATACAGATAAAACCATTTAATTCTCAATAATGTACATATGCAAAATGTAGAAACAGAATCTACCGTTGATCACATTTTAGATTGTCACTGCCATATGACTAATAGCCAGGGACAAGCTTTCTGTCACCTGTTTCTTTAAAAGAGGAAGTGAAAGTAGTTCCATTGAGGTCTCCATTTTATCAAATTTTTCCTTCACCTGAGAGCCTGCTCAAGAGACTCACAAAAAGGAAGTCTGGCTAATAAAGTACTCTGGACTGAAGAGCAGTCCTATTTGAGCTTTTAAATGTAAATGCATAGTTTCAGTAAACTTATACACAGTGGGGAAGAAACACCTCCCTTGATCAACCAGCCAAAAAAACTGAGTCATCCCTGGCAATCAATGAGATGACACATCTCCTCATAGATGGCATTCCCCGATGAAAAAGTCATTCTGAACATATTTGAGGCCTGAGCTGGGTCCTCAACTCTGTCATTCTTTTGCTCATTCCTGTGGTTACACCAAGTGTTACCACACACTACATGCCACCAACCCCATCCAAACCTCAATCACTCTCGGCAGAAAACCTGGTCTAGTACTTGAGAGAGAAAAATGAAGTCATCTCCTGTCCTGTTATGAGTATGCCTGTCCTGTTCTCTAACTTGGCCAATGAATCCCTACTTCTTTCTATCTTCTCTCTGAGTATTATCCCACCAGAGGCCCGGTGAACAAAAAATTGTGCACTCAGGGCTGGGGGGGAGGGGTCCCTCAGCCGGGCCTGAGCCCTCTCGCAGGCCAGGATCCCTCTGGGGATGTCTATCTGCCAGCGTAGGCCTGCTGCCCTGGGGAATGGGCCTACACTGACAGTCAGACATCCCTCTAGCAGCCCGGGAGCCTTCAGGGGATGTCCACTGGATGGCTTAAGCCTGCTCCTCACGGAGAGCGGGCCTAAGCCACAGTCAGACATCCTCAGCACTGCTGCGGAGGCGGGAGAGTACCCGCCACTGCCACTGTGCTCACAGCCATCAGCCCAGCTTGTGGCTGAGCGGATTTCCCCCTGTGGGAGCCCACTGACCACCAGGGGCAGCTCCTGTGTTGAGCGTCTGCCCCCTGGTGGTCAGTGTGCATCATAGCACTGGTCATTCTCCCGTTAGGATCAATTTGCATATCACCCTTTTATTATATAGAATTAGTCTTCCTTAGTTCATTTTTATTTTGGCTTTCCTTCCACTAGCTCTTCTCAGGAAAACAAAGGCATGTTGGAGTCTCCCTCTCAAAAATCTCTCCCCCACTCAAGAAGCATCGAAAATCTCTCAAAGAGGTGTCCTGCAGTACTTTGCATCCAGGCTCTCTCCTATGCCTCACATCCTGTCTCTCTGCGCAACTACAGCAAAATTACTTCTTTGAGTTTCAATTTTCTCCTATATAAAAAGAGGGCTATTATCTATGTTGCAAGTATGATGGGAAAACTAAAGACCATATGTTTAAAATGACTCATAGTGTGCTCGATCCATTATAGGTGTGGTTTTTATTATTGCACTTTGATCAAAAGCCATAAATGGATTTAACTATTGTTAAAAGCATCATTTTAAAAATCAATTTTTCTTTTTTTGCTAGGCATTGTCCTTTTGCCAAACCAGCATAGTGTCTACTTGCTGTTGGAAGAAACCTAGGTCAGGCCAAGTACCCACTTTCAATGGGCACTTAGCGACTAATACTTTGGAATAACCACAAGGAAATGTGAAAATAAGAGTTAATAGTTGACATTATGTATATTCAAATCTATTTTATTTTTATTGGACTGAATATCTTTGGTTCAAGTATTACTTTTCAGACCAACTATTTAATGCCTAATAAAGCAGGACACATTACTCAGAAGCAAAACATTCCATGGAGAGTCACCATGAAGCAAAGATGAAAGGAAAAGTTATATCTTAAAGTAACACTCTATTACTAAAATCTGAATTTACATCCTAAAATGGCCATAGACCCAGAGTGAGATCTGCTTAAACAAATTTCAGGATAGTGAAATATGTATATTATCCAGCAGAACTGGTATTTTTCAGTAAATCTATATTTTCTTCTCAGCTATAAAAAGAAAGAAGCAAAACACCTCAAACTGTTTGGTAAATCTGCAACAGCCAATTATTTATGAGATAATCTGATGCATTTATAACACTAGTTAATATATAAATATATATATATATATATATATATATATATATATATATTCTCCAATATATGACTGAATTCAGTGCCCCACATTTAGAAGAATCAATATAGTCTAAAACCAAAGTTGGCACCATTGCACTCCTCTCCCTGATATTTGAGTCTGCCAAAGATTAACAGACTCACTGTCTGTTCCCACCAGGATCTCCTCACTGCCTCTGGACATAGTAGATAGTGTTCTGAACTACTTAAAATATAGATTTGTAAAAACTTCCCAAGAATACTATGGTGCTTAGCGGGTAATCCCTTCAACATTGGGCCCTATCACAACACTAATGGATTTCTGGCTTCTTCTTTTTTTCTGGGAGGTGGAAATTAGTGGTTACAGATGCACATGCTATCCTATCCAGCTGCCCATCCTCAACTTCCACTTCTGAAGAAGATGGGGCAATAGGAACTGGATTTAACCCTCCACATAAAACAACAACAAAAAACTATACAAAATAATTTTTCGAATGGTTCAAGATATTGGAAATTAAGCAACAAAGAATTAACTGTTCCCAAGTAACTTAAATGCATTCCAGAACAAAGTTCAAAAATATTTATAAGAATACAAAGATATTCAACTTCCAATAAGACAAAATTCACACTGTCCAGTATTTAATAAATATTACAATAACCAGGCATGTGAAGAAGCAGGAAAATAACCCTTAACAGGAAAAAAAAATCAATCAATTGAAATTGATCTGAATTGATACATAACAAAGAATTGACAAAGAATTTATAGATATGGACATAAAAAGTGTTATTGTAATTATATCCAACATGTTCAAGAAGCTAGAGGTATTCAGCATGTTAAGTAAAGATGGAGCCTATTTTAACAGACCCACCTGAACATCTAGAAAAACTATGTCTGAAATAAAAAATATACCAGGTAGGTTTAATGGCAGATTAGACATAGCAGAGAAAGATTGATGAACTTCAATTCAGAACATTAACAGTACCCAAAATGAAATGCAGAGAAAAAGACTGAAAAAATTAACAGAGCATTACTAAGCTTTATGGTAATTTCACGAGGCCTAATAACTGGAGTCTATGAAGGATGGGTGTGATGATAGGAAAAAAATTTTTTAAAGAGATAATGGCCAAATTTTTTTCAAATTTGATAAAAAGTATAAACCCATGGATCCAAGAAGCTCAACAAATCTCAAGACAAAGAAACACAAAGAGCACTAAAGTAAGGTCCACCATCATCAAATTGCTTAAAACCAGTAATAAACAGAAAAAAACTTAAAGCAGCCTATGAGACACATTACATTCAAATGAACAAAAATAATATTGAGAGCAGATTTTGCATCAGAAGCAATACAAGCTCGAAGACAATGTACAGAATAAAAAAAAAAGTCAACCTAAAATTATTTACCAGGTAAAATTATCTTTCAAAATCAAAGATGACCTAGAGACAAATTCATAGAGAGAAATTCATAGAGACAATAAATATTGGAGAGATTATCAGAAGCTAGATGATAAGGGATGAGGAATTATTGTTTTATGGGTAGAGTTTTGTTTGGATGATGAATAAGTTTTGGAAATGGGTAATGAGGATGGTTGCATAACAATGTAAATGTGCTTAATGACACTGATTTGTACATTTAAAAAAGATTCAAATGGTAAATTTTATGTTATGTGTATTTTGCACAATAAAAAAAAAAATTCTTAAGAGGGAATATAATTGTTCTCCTTCCACAAGAATGAAACTCAAAAGATAATGCCCAGTGGAGAAAGGGAAGTTTCAGAATTATGTGCTGAATAATGGCATTTTTATTAATTTAAAAGTACATAATACACTATACTTAGTTATAAACAGAAAGCAGATCAGCCGTTGCCTGGGTTGAAGGGATGAATGAGAGAAGAGTTTGGGAAGGAAGACAATGCAATTGGAGATGGATGCTAACAAGGATAGGCTTTCCCAAAAACCAGAGCATAAGCTGCAGTCTGGGAGCACCCGTGCCCTATCAGGCTCCTACAGCCTCTCTTGCCTCACCACTCAACTCAGCCCCACCCCCTACTGCACGGGGTTTCTCCCAGGTGGGCCTTAGTCTGATCCTTTTGAAGAGACCAGAACTAAGAGAAGTACTTGGGGACTTTTCTAAGTCAGCTGTCTTCTGCGTGGAGGGTGCCATGCCTGGGAGTGCAGGAAGACTTTCCAGGGATTACCAGACATAAACAGTTTTAAAAAGGTATCGATGCCCAGATCCTTAACTTTCACATAAGCTCCTTTCTAAAAGCCATCTGCCTGGGAATGTGCTTGCGGTGCATCTGCCTCATCTCTTTTTCAAAAATGTCTTTCTATTTTATAAAAAACATGCATATACACCTAGCATATAACATAAAACATATATCCATTAAAAAAGTTATAAATGATTGCCAAAACACTTTTATTTATAATAGCCCCAAACTGGAAACAACTTCAATGTCCATCAACAGAAGAATGGATAAATAAACCGTGGTACATCAAGATGAAATACTACTCAGCAATAAAAAGAAGTAAACTAATACACACAATCCTAATACATTAATACTTATGCTGAGTGAAAGAAGCCAGACCAACCCCCTCAC